GGTGTGTGGTGTAGTAGTAGGTGTGTGTGTGTGTAGTAGTAGGTGTGTGTGTGTAGTAGTAGGTGTGTGTGTGTGTAGTAGTAGGTGTGTGTGTGTAGTAGTAGGTGTGTGTGTGTAGTAGTAGGTGTGTGTGTATAGTAGTAGGTGTGTGTGTGTAGTAGTAGGTGTGTGTGTGTAGTAGTAGGTGTGTGTGTGTAGTAGTAGGTGTGTGTGTGTAGTAGTAGGTGTGTGTGTGTAGTTGTAGGTGTGTGTGTGTAGTAGTAGGTGTGTGTGTGTAGTAGTAGGTGTGTGTGTGTAGTAGTAGGTGTGTGTGGTGTAGTAGGTGTGGTGTAGTAGTAGGTGTGTGTGTGTAGTAGGTGTGGTGTAGTAGAAGGTGTGTGTAGTAGTAGTATTAGGTGTGGTGTAGTAGTAGGTGTGGTGTAGTAATAAGTGTGTGTGTAGTAGTAGGTGTGTGTGTAGTAGTAGATGTGTGTGTAGTAGTAGGTGTGTGTGTGTGTGTAGTAGTAGGTGTGTGTGTGTAGTAGTAGGTGTGTGTGTGTAGTAGTAGGTGTGTGTGTGTAGTAGTAGGTGTGTGTGTGTAGTAGTAGGTGTGTGTGTGTAGTAGTAGGTGTGTGTGTGTAGTAGTAGGTGTGTGTGTGTAGTAGTAGGTGTGTGTGTGTAGTAGTAGGTGTGTGTGTGGTAGTAGGTGTGTGAGTCGTAGGTGTGTGGTGTAGTAGGTGTGTGGTGTAGTAGTAGGTGTGTGGTATAGTAGTAGGTGTGGTGTAGTCGTATTAGGTGTGGTGTAGTAATAAGTGTGTGTGTGTAGTAGTAGGTGTGTGTGTAGTAGTAGGTGTGTGTGTATTATTCGGTGTGTGTGTAGTTGTAGGTGTGTGTGTGTAGTTGTAGGTGTGTGTGTGTAGTAGTAGATGTGTGTGTAGTAGTAGGTGTGTGTGTGCAGTAGTAGGTGTGTGTGTGTAGTAGTAGGTGTGTGTGTGTAGTAGTAGGTGTGTGGTGTAGTAGTAGGTGTGTGTGTAGTAGTAGGTGTGTGTGTGTAGTAGTAGGTGTGTGGTGTAGTAGTAGGTGTGTGTGTGTGTAGTAGTAGGTGTGTGTGTGTAGTAGTAGGTGTGTGTGTGTAGTAGTAGGTGTGTGGTGTAGTAGTAGGTGTGTGTGTAGTAGTAGATGTGTGTGTAGTAGTAGGTGTGTGTGTGTTTGTGTAGTAGTAGGTGTGTGTGTGCAGTAGTAGGTGTGTGTGTGTAGTAGTAGGTGTGTGTGTGTAGTAGTAGGTGTGTGAGTAGTAGGTGTGTGGTGTAGTAGTAGGTGTGGTGTAGTAGTATTAGGTGTGGTGTAGTAGTATTAGGTGTGGTGTAGTAGTAGTATTAGGTGTGGTGTAGTAATAGTATTAGGTGTGGTGTAGTAATAAGTGTGTGTGTAGTAGTAGGTGTGTGTGTGTAGTGGTAGGTGTGTGTGTAGTAGTAGGTGTGTGTGTAGTAGTAGTAGGTGTGTGTGCAGTAGTAGGTGTGTGTGTGTAGTAGTAGGTGTGTGTAGTAGTAGGTGTGTGTAGTAGTAGGTGTGTGTGTGTAGTAGTAGGTGTGTGTGTGTAGTAGTAGGTGTGTGTAGTAGTAGGTGTGTGTGTGTAGTAGGTGTGGTGTAGTAGTATTAGGTGTGGTGTAGTAGTAGTATTAGGTGTGGTGTAGTAGTAGTAGGTGTGGTGTAGTAATAAGTGTGTGTGTAGTAGTAGGTGTGTGTGTAGTAGTAGGTGTGTGTGTGTAGTAGTAGGTGTGTGTGTGTAGTAGTAGGTGTGTGTGTGTGTAGTAGTAGGTGTGTGTGTGTAGTAGTAGGTGTGTGTGTGTAGTAGTAGGTGTGTGTGTGTAGTAGTAGGTGTGTGAGTAGTAGGTGTGTGGTGTAGTAGGTGTGTGGTGTAGTAGTAGGTGTGTGTGTAGTAGTAGGTGTGGTGTAGTAGTATTAGGTGTGGTGTAGTAGTAGCATTAGGTGTGGTGTAGTAGTAGTAGGTGTGGTGTAGTAATAAGTGTGTGTGTAGTAGTAGGTGTGTGTGTAGTAGTAGGTGTGTGTGTAGTAGTAGTAGTAGGTGTGTGTGCTTAGTAGTAGGTGTGGTGTAGTCGTTGTTGTGGTGGAGTAGAGAGAGAGGACGACTCAGATGAAGATGGATGAACAGTCGAGTGCGAACGGCAGCAGCCACCACTCGCAGAGCCGTCGCTACCAAACAATTGCCCAAGATCTGCGGTCCTCTGCACATGACGGTGGTATCGGCCAATTCATAATGAGTGCGCTACACATTAGCGCAGTTGTGCGCTGTGATGTCACTTGTCCGCCCGCGAGCCAGTCAGCCAGTCAGCCAGCAAACCTCGTGTACACAATATAGGATTACAAGTCACGTGACGTAATCCTCGTGCCGCCCGACCCGTGGGCTGCTCCTGCCCCTCTACGAAGTCGAACTCCTCCCCTCTAACCCAGTGGTTCTTCTCCTCCTTCTTAAGCTGGGGTGCACGCAGCCCCCTGGGGGTGCGAGACATGGGCAGATCTCTTGTTTTGGAAGGTAAATAGTCGACAACACAAATTAAGCACCGGCACGTTAAGCACAACTTTATTTGTTTCATCAAACCCAACGTATTTTATTAACGTACTTTTATGTTACGATTGCGAACCAAAGGAAACAGGTGTCAGCTCTCGGCTGGTGTTCATGATCAAGCACACTCCATTGCTTTAGAGCCTCTGTGACGCAAGTGGGACACACGTGCTGGGAGAGCATGAGATCTATCAGCATCGTCGCCATCTCAGTAATGTTGTTGTGCTTTAAAGCCATCTCAATTCTACAACCGGGCTAGCTCACGTTGACGATTCGAACGCGCGACGCAACGCCACGTGGCGTAACGGGTCCGAGTATTACCTCGGTAAAAAAACACCGTAATCTCAACACTGTGAGAACATGGCGATAACTACAACACCGTGAGAACATGACGATAACTACAACACTGTCCACACGGTGTGTCAACGCTGTCGGAATACTCCCCGATTCCCATTCTTACAGCAGCACCAGCATCGCATCTCCATCATCATCATCAATACCTCTACCCTGAACCCTGTTTATAATGCAAATCTTCCCGCCGCTGCCTCCCCACACACACACACAACACCCCCCACACACACAACTCCCCACACACACAACTCCCCCCACACACACACACAATTATCCACACACACACAACTCCCCACACACACAACTCCCCACACGTACATACACACACACAACTCCCCACACACACACAACTCCCCACACACACACACACAACTCCCCACACACAACTCCACACACACAACTCCCCACACACACACAACTCCCCACACGAACATACACACACAACTCCACACACACACACAACTCCCCACACGTACATACACACACAACTCCACACACACACACACAACTCCCCACACACACACAACTCCCCACACGAACATACACACACAACTCCACACACACACACAACTCCCCACACACACACAACTCCCCACACGAACATACACACACAACTCCACACACACACACAACTCCCCACACGTACATACACACACAACTCCCCCCACACACACACACAACTCCCCACACGGACACACACACACAACTCCACACACACACACACAACTCCCCACACGTACATACACACACAACTCCACACACACACAACTCCCCACACAACTCTACACACACACACAACTCCACACACAACTCTACACACACAACTCCCCACACGTACATACACACACAACTCCCCCCACACACACACACAACTCCCCACACGGACATACACACACAACTCCACACACACACACAACTCCCCACACGTACATACACACACAACTCCACACACACACAACTCCACACACAACTCTACACACACACACAACTCTCCACACGTACATACACACACAACTCCCCACACACACACACAACTCCCCACCTCCACCATCTCCATCACCACCTCCACCACTACCTCCACCACCACCTCCACCACTACCATCTCCACCACCACCTCCACAACTACCATCTCCACCACCACCACCGTCACCTCCATCACCACCTCCACCATCTCCATCACCACCTCCACCACTACCTCCACCACCACCTCCACCACTACCATCTCCACCACCACCTCCACAACTACCATCTCCACCACCACCACCGTCACCTCCATCACCACCTCCACCATCTCCATCACCACCTCCACCACTACCTCCACCACCACCTCCACCACTACCATCTCCACCACCACCTCCACAACTACCATCTCCACCACCACCACTACCATCACCACCCCCATAACTACCTCCACCACCACCTCCACAACTACCTCCACCACCACCTCCACCACTACCATCTCCACCACCACCTCCACCATCTCCACCACCACCTCCACAACTACCTCCACCACCACCACCTCCACCACTACCATCTCCACCACCACCTCCACCACTACCATCTCCATCACCACCTCCACAACTACATCCACCACCACCACCTCCCACCACCATCACCACCTCCAAAACTACCTCAACCACCTCCACCACTGACACCTCCACCATCACCACCTCCACAACTACCTCCACCACCTCCACCATCTTCATCACCACCTCAACTACCTCCACCACCACAGTCACCTCCATCACCACCTCCACCATCTCCATCACCACCTCCACAACTACCTCCACCACCACCACCTCCACAACTACCTCCACCACCACTACCATCTCCATCACCACCTCCACAACTACCACCACCACTGACACCTCCATCACCACCTCCACCATCTCCATCACCACCTCCACCACCACCTCCACCACCACCTCCACCGCTACCATCTCCATCACCACCTCCACAACTACCTCCAACACCTCCACCACCTCCACCACCGACACCTCCATCACCACCTCCACCCCCTCCACCCCCTCCACCACCACCCCGCCCTGACTTGCGCTGCGTGCACCCTCCAGGAGGGTTCGTGCGCCGTGCACTCCGCCAGCGCCGGGGCCGCCGCCGCCGCCGCGGCTCCCCGCCGGGACGGCTTCTTCAGGGACGGCGCTCGTCGCGTGGACTTCGCCCTCGCCTTCGGGGCGCCGCGCCGCGGACCCGACGGCGTCGGCGCCGCGCGCTTCTCCTCCTCCGTGCGCCGCGCCGCCTCGCGCCGCCTCGCGCCGCCCTCCTCCGTCTCCTCCTCGGTGCTCCAACTGGAGCCCGAGAGGCGCCTCCCGCCGGGGCTCGCCCTGCAGCCCGTGGCCGAGGGCGCTCCGCTCCCCTCCGCTTCGACGACCACGATGACGACGACGCAGCAGCAGCAGCAGCAGCAGCCGCCGCCGGGAGTCGTCACCACCTCGTCGTTTTTCATCGCCGCCACCGCCGCCTCCTCCACTGCCTCCGCTGCTTCGCCGTGGTCGCCCCCCGGGGCGGGCTCCGACCAGGACTGGCGGAGGGACAAGGAGCCGCTCCCGGGGGGCGGTGTGGGGGGAGACGCGACCTCGCGGGACGGCAGTGATGACATGGTGGACCTGGAGGCTGCGTCCGACGTTGGGTGAGAACGTCTGTCTGTCTCTCTCTCTCTGTGTCTCTCTCTGTCTCTCTCTCTGTGTCTCTCTCTGTCTCTCTCTCTGTGTCTCTCTGTCTCTCTCTCTCTGTGTCTCTCTCTGTGTCTCTCTCTGTCTCTCTCTGTGTCTCTCTCTGTGTCTCTCTGTCTCTCTCTCTCTCTCTCTGTGTCTCTCTCTCTCTCTCTGTGTCTCTCTCTGTGTCTCTCTCTGTCTCTCTCTGTGTCTCTCTCTGTGTCTCTCTCTGTCTCTCTCTGTGTCTCTCTCTGTGTCTCTGTGTCTCTGTGTCTCTCTGTGTCTCTCTCTCTCTGTGCATGCTGGGAAGAGTGTGTGTCCTGCACGATCTCTGTGCACAGGGTACTGAGTTTTATCTCCATCTTGACCCTCGCCTGAGCAAGAGTTAACTTACCTTTGGTGGTCATTCTCTCGGTTTTCTTCATTTATTAAATCGTATTGTGTCGAACAACCTTCTCCCCTTAACTGTGAGTATTGTTACTTCACGTTGTGCTGTCTATTTTCTGCTTTTCTGGTGGGTTTCCTTCGTCTCAACAACACACCACCACCACCACGCCCCAGGTCTGCTTGGTTTAGCAGCCTGGAGCCTCTCTCTCTCTCTGATCCACTCCTTCCCTCACAGCACTCCGTTTTTCTCTCTTGCTGTCTTATTCATCTTTCTCTCCTCTTCTTAGTCTCTCTTGTGAATAACATTCTTCGTCGACTTTTCTTATCACTCCTGTTGTACTGCTGCCGTTCATCATGGCACAGTTCGACAAGATCGAGCCTCTCTCTCGGAGGAATGCAGTCATTTGCTTTACTCCACCCGAGACAGCCATCGAGGTCGTCATTGCCACGGTGGTCGAGCGCGTCGGCCTGGCCGGCATCCCCATTGCCCGGCGACAGAACCGCGGCGTGGTCATTTACATGACCGAGGAGAGTTTGGCGGCGCGCCTCGTGGAGACGGGACTCGACATGGAGGGGGAGCTGTTAGTGCAGTTCACCCCTCTTTCTTCTCCACCCGCCATCAAAGTGCTGATCTCCAACGTGCCACCCTTCCTCAAAGGCACCGAACTGCAGCGAGACGTACAGCGGTTCGGCGCGATCGTCTCGCGCATCATCAATGCTGGCACACATCATGTCGCTTCATTCGACAAACCTTCATGATGCTGAAGGACAGTAACACGGACCTCAACGTGACCTTCAAGTACACGATCGAGGGCTACGTCCACACCGTGTACAGGTGTGGTGGTGACAGCCACGCCTGGAAAAACTGCCCGGCCAAGGAAAAGGAAAATGCTGCTCAGCCTGCACCAACACACACAGTGCAGCAACAACAGAAGGCGCAGCAGCAGCAGCAGGACGATCCACCGCTGCAGCAGCTGCACAACAAGCAGCAGCGACAGAACCAGCAGCAGCAGCAGGAACGTCCGCAGCAGCAGGACCCCGCTGACTCTGCGGCTGACTGCGCAGAGTCAGCGACTGACGGCGAGTGGGATGGCTTCACCGTCGTTCAGTCACGAAAGCTCAAGGCTAAGGGCGGCCCTGCAGCGGCAGGGCGCGTTGCGACTCTTCCTAAGCTCACGGCCATCGCCGACAACAACAACGAGCCGGACGACCGCCCAGATGCAGCAGCAGCGCGTGGCGATGAGCCCGAGCCACGGGACGCGGTGAACACCGCTGACGAGGCCCACCTGCCGGACGACGCCGAGGCAGAGGGACGACCACCGGACCCGGCCTGGAACGACAGGGGGGGCTGCAGACCACCACCACCGCACTTGACGGTGCCACGGCGCTCGAGGGCGCCGGTCAACCCACCTCCTCACCCGATGAGGTGACAGCTGCAGAGTCTGCAGAGGAGAGCCACCCCGAGCCCAACGAGACCCCGGCTCTGTGGCCGCCGAGCCTCACGCGAGCACGCACGAAGACTCTGATGATGAGCAGTCGGAGGCTGACGTCGACGACAACGCGAGTGAGATGAGTTTCTCGCAAATTTAGGGAGGAGCGGGAATACGCACCCTGCGAGATCCTCCACTTCCTCCAATCCACCTCCAGGAAGCGTGGGGTCAGCATCGAGGCTTTTTCCCCAATGTGCTGGTCTTCTTGAAAGAACCACAGAAAATATATCGCGAACCGCAAAAGTTTGCGTTCAGCCCGCAAGAATGCTACCGACTGAAAGCGTTGGTGCAAAAAGCGAAGAAGAAGAGCTCTTCCCTTCCAAAGTGATCCTCTGCAGCCACTGCCAACACCTAATGCCATGGCTTCGGGTGTCAAGATAGCAAGTCTGAATTGCAACAGTGCTCGCAGTGCCAAGAGGTGGCACCGCGTCTGTTGCTTTCACAACGACCAAAAGGCAGGCGTAACTTTCCTGCAAGAAACGTACCTTGACGCCACTCTGCAGGAACTAATTTCAGCACCTCATGGGCAGCCAGTCCTTCTTCAGCCACGGTGAAGACAACCTCGCTGGAGTCGCAATCGTGTTTGGTCCAAAGTTTATTTCTGAGAGCGTGGTCTTTAAAGAAATCGTGAAAGGACATTTGATTTCGGTGGACTTTGTGTTCAACAACACGAGGCTGCGGTGCGTCAACTTGTACGCACCGAGCAGGAGCTGCGAGAGGAAGCTCTACTTCTCCAGCATGCCGCCGGACACCCTGGAGCCGGCGATGCGGACGACGTGCTCACGGTCATTGGGGGAGATTTCAACTGCACCCTCGACCCGGCTCTCGACCTTGTGAAGAGCCGCAACCGTCACCCCAAGTGGAAGACCGCGGCCGAGATCAGCGGCACCGCGGGGCTCCGCTTCATGCTCGCCGGAGAGAGGTTGTTGCGGGAGGCGCTCGCGGCAATGCGGGAGCTGCGGCTGAAGCTGGAGGCACCTGAAGAGCGGCGCCGCACGAACTTCCTCCTCCTTCCCGGAGTTGCGCATCTCCTGCACCCAACCTCCTGGACGCTGTGACTTAGGAATTAGCTAATCAATTAATAATTTAATGTATAAATAGATGTGTTTATTCGTTGATTAATTGGCCAATCAATGAATGCATTCATTGATTAACTAATGCATTAATTGATTAATACATTGTTTAATTGTTTGATTTATTAATTAATCAATGAGCGGCGGCATGCGGCAAGGAGCGGTGCCGCGTTTCGCAATCGGAAGGTCGCGAGTTCAAATTCCAATTCGGGGGGGGGGGGGGTGAAGGGGGAGGTGGAGAGGCTGACTCGGCCCATCCTCCCTCGAGGATCGATACATTTAGTACCGTCAACGCCCTGTGGAAAGTCAACATTGGGCGTCAGTCCTATGAATAGGCTCGCGCCTCTGGTTGCCATGTGCACGTGGAACGCATTTCGCACCGTGCGTAGCGCGCTCATCAGACGTGCGGGGGAAAAGACAACAAACTAAACGCAAAAGAGCAGCTCTGAAAAAATTAGTTTGTCAATCTAGATGATTTAAAAGTGCATAGCTCCAGTAGCTTCATAATATCGGAAGGAAGAGCGTTCCAGACGGCCACAGACGCGCATTTGAAAGCGCGCGATGCATTGACCGTCTTTCTTTGGCGGCTAGCGTGATGGTTTTTGCTCTTTGATGAGATGCGCAGGGTATTGTGGTTCATTTGTGGCAAGCACTTTGTGTGTGATGAGCGCGACCTTACAACAATCTATAAGCACTTTGTGTGTGATGAGCGCGACCTTACAGCAATGTGTTCGTTCGGCAACCGGAAGCCAATGCAGCTCGGCGAGCACTGGACGGACACGGTCGGACCGAAGCGAGTAATGTTCTCTATATGATAGTCAACCCAAAGTGCAATCTTCAGAGCTGGAATTTAGCCAAATCAAGTAACAGAAACACATTTCCTGTAGTGGTGCGGTTTTTTTTTGTTTGCGTGACTGCCTCGATTTGAAACCAGAATCTCAGCGGTATCAGGTCAGCGCTCTGACTTCTGAGGCACCTAGTCACCTTTAATGCCATCTCTCCAACTCCACCTTATCTTTATTGTCAGACGTGATATCATCATCATCATCATCGTCGTCGTCATGGTCATTTGAATCACCGTGTCCCATTCCCATCGCTGTCTCAGTCTCCATCTTCAATGCACGTCCTGACCTCGCCCATGGCCACGTTCTTCATCGGTGCCTCCACGCGTCCACCCTGACCCCTCCCCCCCCACTCCCTCGGGGTGCCCGCAGCTATGTCCCGCTGGCTGAGGTCCACGACGAGGAGAAGCGCGCCCGGAGGGACGAGTTCGAGGCGCGGCTCTTGGAGGCTGGACTCGAGCTGGAGCGCGATGACGAGGTGAGCGTCACGCGCGTGGTTCACGTGGAGGCGCGCCAGAGGGTGAGCGTCACGCGCGTGGTTCACGTGGAGGCGTGCCAGAGGGTGAGAGTCACGCGCGTGGTTCACGTGGAGGCGTGCCAGAGGGTGAGCGTCACGCGCGTGGTTCACGTGGAGGCGTGCCAGAGGGTGAGCGTCACGCGCGTGGTTCACGTGGAGGCGTGCCAGAGGGTGAGCGTCACGTGCGTGGTTCACGTGGAGGCGTGCCAGAGGGTGAGCGTCACGTGCGTGGTTCACGTGGAGGCGTGCCAGAGGGTGAGCGTCACGTGCGTGGTTCACGTGGAGGCGTGCCAGACGGTGAGCGTCACGCGCGTGGTTCACGTGGAGGCGTGCCAGAGGGTGAGCGTCACACGCGAGCGCGTGGAGGCGCGCATGCGATGCTCACCTTGACAATGCATCTCATTATCATTGCAGTGGCCTAGCGCGTAATGCGTGTGTGAGAGATAACCTGCAGAACCGTACACCTGCAACACCAGCAGCAGCAGCAGCAGACTCCGCGTCTCCACTCCCTCCCCTCTCCATACAAATTATTACCGCTGTTTGTCGCCTCGTCTCTCCCATCTCCACCCACTCCCACCTCACCCCCTCCCGCGCCCCCTGTCCGCCCCCACCCCACCCCCCGCCGGCAGGCAAGGCGGCACGGAGGCACGGTCTACGTGCGGCTGCACGCGCCGTGGCACGTGCTCACGCGCGAGGCCGAGCTGCTGAAGCTCAAGATGCCGACAAAGAAGGTGCCACGTGCCATCGAGCGAGCGAGCGAGCGATCGAACGAACGACCGAACAAACCAAGCAATCAACCAATCACCACGCCCCCTTAGGCCCTTGTGCTGTGAGGTCACGGGCTGCGTGGGCGAGGCGCTGCCACACGTGGCGCAGTATCGCAACGATTCGCCCGGGGCGCCGTTTTCGCGATGCAGCGTTGGCGCATGCCACGCGCAGTCCCTTCTCACTGTAATTTTATCTTCAGAAATGTGTCCGAAACCTGCGACTATGATTATAGCACGATACCGTGTAGGGGCACGACAATGAAGGTGGAGGGTTTACGGAGAGACGTAACGTGTACCCTTAGTGGCAGTGTCGTGCGCCGGTAGCCGCTGCCCTCGGCCAATTCAGCGGTAGCAGAGTTCTGGAAAAAGATCGAGAGAAAGACTTGGAGCCCTCGCACGTACGTGGCTAATCTATGCGTTTGCAAGGGATCAACTTATCCATCTAGGACCGCATTTTATTCCACAATGGCCTTATCTCAGCTGTACATGTCAGACGCGAGAATTTGAACGTTACTTGCAGCTGAGATTGCCGTTTTTTTTTTATAATCTCCCCTACTGAGACCAAAAGGGAGAATAGGTGAGAGTCAGAAAAACACATGCAGCAGAGAGAGAAACACGTGTCAACTGCATATAACAAGCGCTTACAACATCTAAAAACCTCGCGCAAGGACCGCGTTCGGGTGCGAGAAGCGAACGACGTTCCGTCGCTCTCTGCCCGTTCCCCATGGATCGCGCGTCCCACCCTCGCACACGTGAGATCAATTGCGATGCCGCGATTAGTAAAACCAGCACGTAACGCGGCTTGAAATAGTCGGGATAGATCCGGCAGTCTTACATTCGACCCCTGCCCCTGTTTCTCCGCTCATCGTTGTGACCTCGGCTTGCTAAATCGGGACACCTTCCACATTCAACAGAGGAACAGCAGAGGAAATTACGGCCGATTCTAAGTTTGTCTTCAAAGAGTTGCGGCGCAATGAACCGTCCCTAAGTTTATCTCGTTCACTCGCACCGGGTTCGACCCCCTCGACGCGACCCGATACACACACGCACACACCACGCACACCACACACACCACACACACCACACACCACACACACCATACACACCACACACACCACACACCATACACACCACACACACCACACACACACACCACGCACACCACACACACCACACACACCACACACCACGCACACCACACACACCACACACACCACACACCACACACACCACACACCAAACACACCACACACACCACACACCACACACGCACACACCACGCACACCACACACACCACACACCACACACCACACACCACACACCACACACACCACACACCACACACACCACACACACCACATGTGCACACACACAACACACACGCACACACCACACACCACGCACACCACACACACCACACACCACGCACACCACACACACCACACACACCACACACACCACGCACACCACACACACCACACACACCACACACCACACACACCACACACCAAACACACCACACACACCACACACCACACACGCACACACCACGCACACCACACACACCACACACCACACACACCACACACCACACACACCACATGTGCACACACACAACACACACGCACACACCACACACACCACACACACACCACACACACCACACACTACACACACCACACACACTACACACACACCACACATACGCACACACCACACACACACATACCACACACCACACACACCACACACACACCACACACACCACACACTACACACACTACACACACCACACATACGCACACACCACACACACACACCACGCACACCACACACACCACACACACCACACACACACCACACACTACACACACTACACACACCACGCACACCACACACCACACACACCACACACACCACACACCACACGCGCACACACCACACACACCACACACACCACACACACACCACACACTACACACACCACACATACGCACACACCACACACACACATACCACACACCACACACACCACACACCACACACACCACACACACACATACCACACACCACACACACCACACACACGCACACACGTGGCATTCCTCCGTGGCGTGCTGAGACGTGAACTCTGGATTTGAAGAATGCTCTCCCCCTTCATCGGTGACACTGCTTGGGTGGCACCTCCCGTTGCCAGAGACACTGGCAACAGCTCCCCTCTCACAATGGAGGTGTTTGTGGGTTAGACAGCGCAGGTATAAATGTGCCGTTAAACCAGCACACCGGTTGTGTGTTGGCGAGCAAATCCACAACATTTACTATCTGAGTACGACGTTTCGCCAGTAATTACAACCGGCATCATCAGGCGGCAGCCAGATTTTGTGGATAAATCCTCCTGTTTCGTTCCTTAAATAGAGGGATAAATGTGATGACGTCACGTGGGTGGGAGGGGGGGTTAATGAATGCGTGTAAATTACCATGCGTGTCCACTACCGGTCGGGTTCAGTACATTAGTGAGCTCCCCTCTCGGTGGGTCTCCTCGTAACGAGCCACATTCCCCGGGACTGTTGAGCGTCATATGTGTCGAATCCATTACATCGTTGTTTGTTATTGTTGTTGGTACGAAATTCATCATTTCGGTATTTCTCATGTTAAATGTGCCTGTACATTTTGATTTAAAGCTTTCGTGACTGCAGGGATTCATTTGCTTGGTTCTTTCGGTAAAGTCACGTAGAAGGGAAACAATAAAATAATAAAATATAAAGATATATTTTATTATATATTATTGGTTCTTTCGGTAAAGTCACGTAGAAGGGAAACAATAAAATAATACAAATCTAAAACAATAAAATTCTCACGACGTTTCGACTGCAACACAAGCAATCATTATGTTATTGTTTCCCTTCTACGTGACTTTACCGAAAGAACCAAAAATATATAATAAAATATATATTTATATTTTTGTTATGTTATTGTTTCCCTTCTACGTGACTTTACCGAAAGAACCAAAAAATGTGCGTGTGTTTGTTTTTTTCTGATGGCGCACTGGACTCATCAATATACTTGTATGAGATTATTTGGCAGTTTGAACTTTCCGCGTGATGAGCCACTTCGTTCAGCTATCATTTGTGATAGCCAGGTCGCTTCGGAAAAAATAACGAAATCGCCCAGCGGGCCTTACCTGCTAAGTTAACGTATTTATTGATTTTGAGTGATTTGCTCACCTTTCCAATACTTTACACTCCTGTCCTTCTTGTACTGTTTGTTGTTGTAACTTTCTGCGCCACCAATACTGGAAATCTGTGAAAAAAGGCTTCATAGCTCATCGGATTTCTCCGGGATTAATAAATATTCTTATTCTGTAATGAGAGCGATGGACTCAGCTCGTGCGTGCAGTCCGCTGCTCGATGGATTGTTACACCGCACGATGGTGAGAGACGGTGATGGTTTAGGGGAGCCCTTCATCCAGCAGTGGACTGATCATCGCTGAAGATGATGATGATGATCTTATTCTACCTCTGTTAAATTTGTTTCTATTTATTGTCAATAGTTCAGAGTGTTTGCATATCATGTCTAATCATTCGTATTCTTGCTCCGCTAGAGTCGCGTGTTATCCTTTGACATTCGGGCCTCCCTTCAATGTTTAATTCTATCCTCAATGCGGCTTCGTTACCATTAAATGATACAGCAACACCCCGGATTACGTCGGGGGATGCGTTCCTGAATGTTGAAACTACGTCAATCAAAGCGATGTACAGGGCGTAGTGGTGGGTGGTGGTGGTGGTGGAGGCGAAGGCTGAGAGGCGACGGATAACGCGAAAGGACGGACGACGATGATGATGCTGTCAGCGACGTGAGTGTGGGGTTGAGGTGACGCAAATCAGGTAGCGGTGTCAGTAAAGTGACGACGTGTTTGAGCAACGACATAAAAGTGGGGATACGTAAATCGAGGTATGACTGTACCTGGTTGTGGTGTTGTTGGGTTGTGGGGTCGTGTCTCCCTTTTCAACTCCCCTCCCCACTGCAACCCCCATCCCCCCGCCCCCCCCCCCCCATCCCCCCGCCCCTAGGTGTACGAGGTTCGACGCAACACGCGCCAGGCCTGCTCGTGCTGGCGCCGCGTCACCGCACTGCTGCGGCCGCGCACGCCGCAGTCGGAGAGGGAGGCGCGCATCAAACACCTGTCTCTTCCCTTCTCACGTGACAAGGAACACCTGTACGTCCCTACCAACCACCACCATCACACCTGTACGTCTCTACCAACCACCACCATCACACCTGTACGTCCCTACCAACCACCCCCATCACACCTGTACGTCTCTACCAACCACCCCCATCACACCTGTACGTCCGTACCAACCACCCCCATCACACCTGTACGTCCCTACCAACCACCCACATTACACCTGTACGTCCCTACCAACCACCACCACCACACCTGTACGTCCCTACCAACCACCACCATCACACCTGTACGTCCCTACCAACCACCACCATCACACCTGTGCATCCCTACCAACCACCACCATCACACCTGTACGTCCCTACCAACCATCCCCATCACACCTGTACGTCCCTACCCACCATCCCCATCACACCTGTACGTCCCTACCAACCACCACCATCACACCTGTATGTCCCTACCAACCATCCCTATCACACCTGTACGTCTCTACCAACCACCACCATCACACCTGTACGTCTCTACCAACCACCACCATCACACCTGTACGTCCCTACCAACCACCACCATCACACCTGTATGTCTCTACCAACCACCACCATCACACCTGTACGTCCGTACCAACCACCACCATCACACCTGTACGTCCCTACCAACCACCACCCTCACACCTGTACGTCCCTACCAACCACCACCATCACACCTGTATGTCCCTACCAACCATCCCTATCAAACCTGTACGTCTCTACCAACCACCACCATCACACCTGTACGTCCCTACCAACCACCCCCATCACATCTGTACGTCCCTACCAACCACTCCCATCACACCTGTACGTCCCTACCAACCACCCCCATCACACCTGTACGTCCCTACCAACCACTCCCATCACACCTGTACGCCCCTACCAACCACCACCATCACACCTGTACGTCCCTACCAACCACCCCTATCACACCTGTACGTCCCTACCAACCACCCCCATCACACCTGTATGTCCCTACCAACCACCACCATCACACCTGTACGTCCCTACCAACCACCTCCATCACACCTGTACGTCCCTACCAATCACCACCATCACACCTGTACGTCCGTACCAACCACCACCATCACACCTGTAAGTGCCTATCAACCACCATTACACCTGTATGTCCCTACCAACCACCACCATCACACCTGTATGTCCCTACCAAACACCACCATCACACCTGTACGTCCCTACCAACCACCTCCATCACACCTGCCATCATCGTGACAACCATTTGTGATCACCATTTCGCAGTCGTGCCATACAACTACCCATCGAGCATGTACGCCCATTTCATCACCTCACCAAGGCATCATCACGGCAGCGATTTACCACTCCACCTCAATGTAAAATTGTAGTTGTGTCTCTATATCAACATCATCCATACGGAGAATAATCCATTCATCTCCTGCCTAAGTTGATCACTCACTCACCTGTACGCTCACTATTCACACCCCAAGCTATAGGCTGACCATTCACTCACCTGCCCGATTTTTTTTTATCTTACCACGTGCCTCTAACTCCACTACGCACCCTCACCTGGCTCACCTGCATGTTGACCTGTGACCCCCTCCCCCACTGTCCATTCAACCCCATCGCACCTCCCTCGCCCCTTCACCTGTACCCCCTTCCCATTGGTCCCTCCAATTCTCCTCCCTACACCTCTCTCCCCCCGCCCCCGCCCCCCCGCCTCCTTCCCAACCTGATCCCCTCGTCATCCAACCCTAGATTCGATATCCGGGACAAAGACACGTACTTCACGAGTTCACAACGCAGCAAGATCGTGAGTGGGCAACACGCGCGTTGACATTTCTACTAAACGTTGTTTGGTAATGCTGCTGCTGGTTAAACGAACCAAAGGCAAAGATCCCCCGTATAACCTTCAACAGACTGCTGGGGCAAGTGCTGTTTGCAAGTACCTATGAAGGTCGAGACGGCACACGATGGGGTGGGTGGCCAGCACCATGCCAGGCCGTATTTGTCTCCCAAGTGGCGATGTTTACACACCGCACTGGGTACTCATTTAAGGCTGAGTCCACCTATGGGAGGCCTAGGACCAGATTATAAATCCATCACCAATGATTACCCGTATAGCCTTAACAGAATGTTGGGGAAAGTGCTGTTAGCGAGCACCTATTAAGGCCTGGCTAGGCACACACACGTACAAACATATAAAAAAAACACACACATCCATACTCAGAGAGCACACTAAGACCTCAGAACTGAGCCCAAAAAGTAAATGGTGGTGTTGTTGGGTTGTTTTTTATTCCCAGGTTCGAGAAATCCTAAAGCGGACGGTGGTGACGCGTGGCAAGCACAGCATTGGTGAGCACATGGCTGCGGCCATTTTAATCAACGTCACAAGGGACTCTTTATGTCACCACTACACTCCGAAGCTCTTGCCTGAGAGAGACGAGCCATGCATGAATTTGTAGTCTTTGGGCTCGATTCGCCTGTTGAATAATGTTTGGCGATTACATTCCGAGTGGTGATTTTATTAAAGAATATATTGTTTATTTATTAACGCTATTCACTCCACATTGTAAATGTTGTGTAAATGTTGTGGGTTTTCTCTCCAACGCACCGGTGTGCTGTACTAGTAACGAATTGGCACGTTCTGTTTACGTGACAAACCTTAGTAATTGGCTGGATCGGGTGATGGGGGGTTTAACGACACATTTATAGTTACACGATCTAACCCAAAAAACATCTCTTACGGACCATGTACATCGATGATATAGTTACACCTCTACCAATGACGTTCTTGCGTGCAATGGCAGCGATGTGTCGAGGAGTAACTGAATGCCAATGATGAGGTTTGCTGCTTCTCATCACGACGAGAGGGCTTCAGGAGACAGAGAGAGTTTGTGTCGCTTTGCTGTTCATGCTCCGTTGAAGGAGCGTAGACCACAGTGGGGGTCACTGTGTGGGCCATAGGTTGGCTTGCATGGCCACACTTACACTCCTGTGGGATGTCTCTCATGTATCTCCATGTGTCTCTATGCATCTCTACGTGTCTCGATGAGTATCTGTGTATCTCCTTGAGTATTTACGGGTATCTGTGTACCTATGAGTCTGTATGTTATCCCTTTGTGTCTCTATCATAGTGTCTCTATGACGCTCTATGCATCTCTTTATTTCTCTATGTATATATATATAAGTCTCTACGTATCTCTATGCGTCTCTATGTATCTCTATGAGTCTCTATGTATCTCTATGAGTCTCTATGTATCTCTACGAGTCTCTATGGGGTTTACTATACGGCCCAAAGTTTGGGTTGCATAGCCACCATCGCACTACTGTTTGGCTTCTGCTTTTCAAGTTCCATTCACGAAGGGGCTGTTGACCTTTCTTCATGACGGGGACGACCAACAGAGAGACTAGAATCTCGACAAACGCTCCGAGTGAAACCCTAACCACCTGTTCCCCTATTCAAGATATTTTCCATTTGCCGCACGTGCGCCCAGGTCTCACGCGTCTGCTGGCCAGCGGTGTGTACAGCGCCGCATACCCACTCCATGACGTGAGTCCCGCTGCCGTCACCACCCCCCCCACCCCCCACATCCCCTTCACCAACTCGCACTGAGCAGCACGCTGGTGGTGGGCGGTCGAACATGCCCCCACCAACAAACAAAGAGTTGAGAAGTCCAATCGTGTAAATCAATTTTACTGAGAACGTTCCCAATTTCTCAGACCACTGGGGCCGAAAGGGCTACCTTCTGGGTTTTCTGGAACACTTTGTTACGTGAATGGACACCGATGCCCATCGACCTATGTCCAGAACATCCAAATGCAGAAACACGACAGACAGGAAGTCGTCGTCTAACGCGCTCGTAGATGTGTTCCTGAAAAGCGCCACGTTAAGCGAAAAAACATTCTCCATAGGCAGTGTAACGACAGAGTTTAGCGCAGCTCAAGAAAGTGCCTCGTCGTCGGCGCACGCCCCGCGTCATAACGGTGCACGCCCCGCGTGGTAACGGTGCACGCCCCGCGTCATAACGGTGCACGCCCCGCGTCATAACGGTGCACGCCCCGCGTCATAACGGTGCACGCTCCGAGTGGTAACGGTGCACGCCCCGCGTGGTAACGGTGCACGCCCCACGTGGTAACGGTGCACGCTCCGCGTGGTAACGGTGCACGCTCCGCGTCATAACGGTGCACGCCCCGCGTGGTAACGGTGCACGCCCCGCGTCATAACGGTGCACGCCCCGCGTGGTAACGGTGCACGCCCCGCGTGGTAACGGTGCACGCCCCGCGTGGTAACGGTGCACGCCCCGCGTCATAACGGTGCACGCCCCGCGTGGTAATGGTGCACGCCCCGCGTGGTAACGGTGCACGCCCCACGTGGTAACGGTGCACGCTCCGCGTGGTAACGGTGCACGCTCCGCGTCATAACGGTGCACGCCCCGCGTGGTAACGGTGCACGCCCCGCGTCATAACGGTGCACGCTCCGCGTGGTAACGGTGCACGCCCCGCGTGGTAACGGTGCACGCTCCGCGTCATAACGGTGCACGCTCCGCGTGGTAACGGTGCACGCCCCGCGTCATAACGGTGCACGCCCCGCGTGGTAACGGTGCACGCCCCGCGTGGTAACGGTGCACGCTCCGCGTCATAACGGTGCACGCTCCGCGTGGTAACGGTGCACGCTCCGCGTCATAACGGTGCACGCCCCGCGTCATAACGGTGCACGCCCCGCGTCATAACGGTGCACGCCCCGCGTGGTAACGGTGCACGCCCCGCGTCATAACGGTGCACGCCCCGCGTGGTAACGGTGCACGCCCCGCGCTGCGTGGAAAGTGTTTCCCAATGGAAGAACCGCGTCATAGCGCCAAAGCATTGTGTCTGTGCTGTTCTGCACCACCGTACGTAGGCAACCGTGGTAATTATCGGAGTAACGGGAGTGGGGCGACTAACGCTGCACTAAAGCCGCGCGCTAAGCGAAGACTTTGCCGTCGTACTCTTGGGAAAAAAACACAGCGTGCCCTCTGTTCCCCGGGGGGTATGAATGCTGAGACGCGATCCGTACCGTGACACCCGTGGAAACCGGGCTACGAGCCATGCACAGCAGGCAAGGTGCAGGGGATTTTGAGAAGGGGGCGGAGAGGAGCGATTGAATCGGTGCGAGGGAAAGTTTTTAAGGTGTTGGCACGACGAACCCCTCTCACCCACGGGGTCGGGATACACCTCCGGCTATGAATAGGCGATGTAAGCGATGCCGCTGTTCCATGCCGCCCCGAACTCCAACCCCCTATCGCCCGGCACGGTGCCACGGTGGGATCGATCCCGACCTTGACGCCTGCTGATTATATTTTGAGTTTGCATGTTCTCCCCGTGTGTTGAGATGAATCGACACGCGTTTAGAGTATTTGGCTGCTGCTATAAATGTCCACACGACGATGAGCCACTTTGTTGAGTTTGTCATTTGTGGTAGCCAGGTCGCTTCTGAAAAAGAGCTGTATAGCTGAGTGGGGCCTTACCTGGTGAAATAAAAAGTTCTTGTTACGTTTGTTTTTAAATCGCCCTGCCCTCTCGCCCACTTCACTAAACCTCCCTCCCTGTTACCCTCTTGTCCGCATGTCTTCGCAGGGAGACTATGACGTCACCACGGGCCCCGGCAACGACAGGAAGGTGAGCAGGCTGCTATTGGCGGTTGTAGCACGCGGTTGGGTGGGGGGCACAACACGTGACCTCACCTCGGTCTCCCTCGTCGTATTTGGGCTCCGCGGTGGTGAGATGTTTACTCTCTCCCCTGGTATACAGGAGGTTGAGGCTTCGATCACAACCCTGAAGCTTGCTGTATATTTGGAGTTTGCATATTCTCCCCGTGGTCGTGTGGATTTTTCTCCGGGTCCTCCGGGTTTTCACTCCACATTTATGAATTTCGACATAATCAGCCTATTCGTTAACTTATATCATTTGTGGCCAGGTTGCATTTGAAAAAGAGCTGTATAGCTCAGTGGGGCCTTAACTGGTAAAATAAAAAAGAGTCAAGTGGTTAATAGTATTTGCCCCCAATTGAATCGTGCCCGTGAATGTACCTGTGTTGTTTATCCCATTATATGAGTTAACGTTCGTGGTGTGTGGGTGCCACAACATCGTTTCCGCCCTGTCACTTCGTGTGGCTGCTGTTGTTGATGTATCGCAACAGCTGTGATGTGACATTGAGGTGGTTGAGGAGTGGGCAGGGCCGTCCATAGGGGTGGGAGGGGGTGCGGGGCTCGGGACGAATCCCACTGTGGCCCCCCCTGACGTCTTCAAACTCAACCGGAAGTATTACCACTGACAATGTGACGTCGAAGCGTGGGGCCCCCCCAAGGCGCAGGGCCCTGGGCGGTCACCCCCATTCGCTGCGTATCCTAGGGACGGCTCGGGGAGTGGTGCATCGATGGCCCGATTAGCACGGTGGGCTACGTACGATGCAAAAAAAGTTCATCATACATACATCATCGCTGCGGAGGTGACGTCTCCTTCGTTGGGATGTATCGGGTCACTGAGTCGCTCGATGTTTCATGGTTTTGTTCGGGTGGTGACCGCAGTCTCCCCGTACTGACCACAGAGTTTTGTACATATCCAATTGTGTGAATCATCATCATCGGGTATCCGCATCTGCTGCTGCTGCTGCTGGAGATGATGCGGTTTAGTGGCTGTGGCCCAGAAGATTCAGGGGAGATCGACGTCATGCAGGGATCTTCTGGGTCGTCTTGTCTTTCACATGTTTGTGACTTCTTGTGAACTCCACTCTGCTCTCCAAGCTGCATCATCAGGGTTTTGTAGTTGCATTGTTTAAGGCTGAGTGCGTCTGACTGCATTTCACGCATCGCAATTTCGAGCATGCCGGCGTTTAAAGTTAACAGCAAAACTGGCTGAATGAATGAACTTGACGACGTGATTAAACTAAGGCTGACAACTACCAACGACAACTAAAAACAGCTAAAGGATCGTGCTGGAGAGATCCACGCTCGACCTTGGAATTGCACCAAGAGACAGAAAGAGGTGCATGCACGTGGCGTCGAGAGCACACGCAGACCTTAACGACGCCACTCAAACGGTTACGTAAGCGAGCCTTGGGCATTAGATGTCGTGCCTGGCAGGGATGATCGGGATGATGTCTCGTGTGTCGGCATACTGTGGATTGTTACATCACCGGGCCGTGACACATGGAGGCATCCTGGCGAAGCCTTCATCCAGAAGTGGATCGATCAAAACCGATGATGATAATGATGATGAATTTGATTATGGTGGTGGGGGCGGTGATGTTATCTTGGCATCGTAAAGCATGCTGGGATTGCTGCAATGCTTCGCTGCTGGACTCCTGTGCGTGTGTGTGTATGTACTGTGTGTGTATGTACCGTGTGTATGTACTGTGTGTGTATGTACCGTGTGTGTACTGTGTGTGTACCGTGTGTGTACTGTGTGTGTGTACTGTGTGTGTACCGTATGTGTGTATGTACTGTGTGTGTACTGTGTGTGTATACTGTGTGTGTGTACCGTGTGTGTGTACCATGTATATGTACTGTCTGTGTGTACCGTGTGTGTGTGCCGTGTGTGTATGTACCGTGTGTGTACTGTGTGTATGTACTGTGTGTGTGTACTGTGTATTTACTGTGTTGGTGTACTGTGTGTATGTACTGTGTGTATGTACCGTGTGTGTGTGTACCGTGTATGTGTGTAACTACTGTGTGTGTACTGTGTATGTACTGTGTGTGTACTGTGTGTATGTACTGTGTGTATGTACTTGTGTATGTGTACCGTGTGTGTGTATGTACTGTGCGTGTACTGTGTGTATGTACTGTGTGTACTGTGTGTGTATGTACTGTGTGTGTACTGTGTGTACTGTGTGTGTACTGTGTGTGTACTGTGTGTACTGTGTGTGTACTGTGTGTGTGCCGTGTGTGTGTGCCGTGTGTGTGTATGTACTGTGTGTGTGTGTACTGTGTGTGTGTACTGTGTGTATGTACTGTGTGTATGTGTACCGTGTGTGTGTGTACTGTGTGTGTGTATGTACTGTGTGTATGTGTACCGTGTGTGTGTATGTACTGTGTGTGTGTACTGTGTGTATGTACTGTGTGTATGTGTACCGTGTGTGTGTATTGTGTGTGTGTGTACTGTGTGTGTGTACTGTGTGTATGTACTGTGTGTGTATGTACTGTGTGTATGTGTACCGTGTGTGTGTATTATGTGTGTGTGTACTGTGTGTGTGTACTGTGTGTGTATGTACTGTGTGTATGTGTACCGTGTGTGTGTATTATGTGTGTGCACCGTATGGGGAATCGAAGTGTAGATCGATAATGGAGCAGTCAGCGCGCTGCGCTACGAACCCGGCGGCCAGAATTCGATTCCCGCCAATCCGAGTGGAGATTATCTGAACCGGTCCTGGGCCTCCCCGAGGTCGACTCAACCGCAAATGAGTACCTGGTGCAATGTATAGACATCGTCACTAGAGAGACAAAGGCGGCCGGGCGTGGTGCTAACCACCCACCCCTTTGCGTGCCGTGTCGGCCTTCATAGCTCCTACTCGCTAACAGCACCCCAGCCTCTCCTCTTTCTCCTGGCATCTCTCTCTCTCTAACGACGTCGTGTCGATGATGCGGGTCGTACGACCATACTTCACCACCCTGATCAGTGCAAGGTTGGTTTCGGAGGGCCCTCCACACCCCCCATGGAATCGGGTTCAGAATATCGGTTCGCTCCTGGCGTTGGCCACTGACGGGAATCGAACGCAGATCTTCGAGTTGGTAGCACGGTGTGTGGCCCTCTCCTCCCACGTCTCCCTCCCCCCATCATCGTATCTCTCTTCTTGGACTCCCACCTCTCTCCAGGCCCCTCGCTCCATCCACGTCTTCATTGCTTCTTTATTCACTCTCTCTCTCACTCTCTCACTCTCTCTCTCCCTCTCTCTGTCACTCTCTCTCTCACTCACTATCTCTCTCACTCTCTCTCACTCTATCACTCTCTCACTCTCATGTCCCTGTCGCTCTCCCTCCCTGGAGGCCCGGGACACGCCGTGCCCCAGACGTCTTCTGGTGTCACAGACCCCTCTGCCTTTGCAGGGCCGCGTCACACACCCACACACACTCAGATGCATCATCAGCAGCATCAACAACATCAACAACAGCAGCAGCAGCATCATAATGATCGGCACCATCATCAATATCATCACCAACAACACCATCATCAACAGCATCAGCAGCATCATCAGCAGCAGCATCATCAGCATCAACAATGTCATCATGATCGACACCGTCATCAGCATCACCACTACCAACATTAGCATCAACATCATCATCACCAACAACTTAATCATTAACATAATCAGAATAAACCACATCTACTAAATCGTCAACATCAGCATTAAGAACATCTACATCAACATCTTCATCATCATGATCACCAGCAACATTATCACCAACATCGTCATCAGCAGCAGCAGCAGCAAGATGGCCAGGTTGTGGCAATAGGGTTCATGGGTTCATGTACCCGCGTGTGCGAACCTTTGAGTATCCGGTTCTCGTACCGTAATGCGCGTGCCTCCTCCAGATTCCCCGAGTTCCCTTCCGCGTGAAAACGACAAACACATTACGTTGGCCAAACGTCCCCGATGCGAGACTTTCTTGAACATGAGTCACGTGACGTCGGCTCTCCTGAATACATTGTCTTCTTTTTCGTCTAAGTTCTCATTACCTGCACCACAGGCAAACACCACGACGCCTCTCTATGTTTACAATCAACAACAGCAAATCTCAAAACATTTGCCAATCGCACTGTGGCCTTAAAATAAACAAATATATGAGGTTTTTGTGTTACATCGCGTAAATATATAGATGTGTCGTTAAACCCGCCACCACCCGACACAGCCAACTAGTAAGGGTTGTCATGTAAACAGAACGTGCCAATTCGTCACTACCATTGGAACCTCCTTTGCCAGTAGCAAAATATGATAATTATTTTTTTACCCTTTTATATGGCAACGAAACTTACACCTTTTTTTAAAAAGGGAGTCATGTTTGCATTGACCACAATACCTGTGGTCGGAATGCAAACAAAAAACATAATTATGATAATGTATGCACTGTCCTTGAAATTGATTGGCCCACACCCGAGACAGCTTTCCTTAGAGCCTAGTCTCACATGGTGTTGGACCAGATGACGCCAAAAGGCGAGCGGTCTAAGGCGCTGCGTTCAGGTTGTAGTCTCCCCTGGAGGCGTGGGTTCGAATCCCACTTCTGACACCAAAGTGTGGGGGACGCGGGCCCCCGGCTCCCCCTCCGGGGGAGGGCTGCAGGCTCCGGACTCCTCGCTCATGTGAGAGCTCGTGGGGAGAGGGCTGCCGCTCCCCGGCTCCCCTCCTCGCGGCCGCAGCCCCTCGGGTCCGCGGGTCCTGTTTGGGGGCACAGCTCGGGGCTGGCGCACGACTGCCTGGAGTCAATCCGTCGCTTCTCAGCCACTCAAACGCGACGTATCCGCTCACAACCCCGCGCACCACTCGCACGTGCTGAACCGGGGGTCAGGGGTCAGAGAGCAATGACGTCCTTCGCACACGCGTTGCCACCGAGGGCGGGCAATGGAGATTGTTTAAAGGGCTGCAAGGCGGGGATTCGGAGTCGGTCGTAGGGCGACACACCAATCGC